AGGCAGTGGTGCACAACGACCTGCGACGCATTTCGACCTATTCGTTCGATTTATATGACAGTTGACCCTTTGCACTCGAGAGGTGACTCTCGGTCACCGTTGAGTCGATTTGAGGTATTCAGTATTTTCTGACAATGTGTTATTTGTAGTATTTGCGTGTCTGATTGAGTGTAGAACTTCTGCACAATGATGCGTAAGCTATACTGAGTTAGTCATTAAATGTATTAGTTTCTTTTATACTCTGTATAGTACACGATATTACATTTATAGTCAGTGTAATAAGTATTCGTACAGAAGCCAATTCAAAATAATACTTCTTGTATTTATTTTATTAATAAATTTTAGGGGAAGAAATAATTTATCAACATTCCTACATATTTTTCGAGTAGAATTTGCGTAAATTACAATCTTAAATTAACGTTTAATGTTAGCCTCTTATTACTTTTCTTATTAATTTTATTTTAAATTGGTTGCTGTACGAATACTTCTTACACTGACTGTATATATTTTTTACCTGACTGGATTTTTGTACTCTATTATTCTACACTGGTTGGTGACAGAGTAAATGGTTACTATTTTTAAATTAAACACTGAAATGAATGAAGTTAATATGCCTATGCGACTTATTAACCTCTAAATATTTATTCCCCCTTTTTGTCTCATATCTGCTGATAAGGCAGGTTGTGCATCACTGCGTAAGAGCACCGTCCACCATGGACACAATCGGCAACGATGAATTCGTCGAACGTTTTCCGCGAGAATGCACTTCTATCCTCCTCCTCGCGCTTTCCTCCGTCTCTGCTCTCGAACTTCTTATCGCGCCTGTATTTTTTTTCTGCTCGCCCGTTTATCTTCCATTCGCTCGTAGCTTTCGCAAAATGTCCCCTTAAACATAGCGAAATTGCCCCGTTCCCATCCGAGATCCAGCGATCTCTTTTCAGTGTCGCATTCTATACGGCGCTTTGAACTCTGTATTATGATTCCGCGTTTACGGTACCGGAACGATGAAATTAAATTACCTTAGGGCACTCGTAATTCCCAGGTTTTTTCAATAGCTCGCTTCGACTCATTCCGAGCATGCTCCTCGACTGTGCTCGTAAAGTATGATCTCCGTTTATGCAAGAATTTTGAAATTATTGTTATTTTTCTAACAAATTGGGCATCATGGCTCGAAACAAAATTGCAGCGCCATCAAAGAAAATTGGTCAACTGAGCGCTGAAAATTATTCTGAGCCAGCAGGACACTTACGCAACAGATTGCAGCGAGGCTTGCACACTAATCGCACGATTCATTATGGTTTACTCTATTTACATGCGATTGAAAATGTCTGAAACGAGTTGAAATTGCTAGTGTACCAACGTCTCATTCAAAGGAACCCCCATGTTCGCATTACATCAATACCAAGCTGTCTCCACTACCTGTTTGATGTCTCAATTCGACGATCGGGAATTGATAATTATGAAAGGGCTCGGCCAGAGGATTAATCTCATTAGCAGGCGACTGTCTTTTATGCAGCAAAGGATCGTCGATCATGCGACACGTATGAGACGGGACCAGAAGGTGGACAAGGACGACCAAAGGTGATGGTGGTTATTTGACGACTAAATTGTCCTGTTTGATGTCGCTGATTCGGCTTGGGACGTCCTCAAAGAGCACGGATGTAGAAACGGGGAGACGATGAGAGAAAATTTTCCACAGACGCTTCGAGATAGAAACGGAACGAGTGTAACGCTGCGCATTTATCGTTGAAAAGCTTAGACACTGCGAATGGCGCGTCTCGAAGGTGAAAATCCATCCGAGTCTGCTCCACGCAATTTTACCCTCGCGAATGTCTCGCCTTTCCCGCGAGTTTTATTGGCGTGGTTCCGGAGCGCCAGTTATGCTTGCTCGATTTTCTCAGTTTCGAGGAAATCCGATTTCAGCGAATTTTTGGCGCCTCGGTCGGAGGAGTCCTTTGGGTTCGTTTGGCCCTAGTGATAATTTAGAGGGTCGTTAATATAGGTGGAGGGAGGCGAAGTGTTTTTGGGAAAATTAAGGAATTTGACGACCATCGAGGGATAGAGGGTATGAATTTAATTCCTCGAAGGCATATTTTTATTTTCTTCTTTTGGAGAACTTTGACAGACTTATTGGTTATACTTTGATATGCGATTCTTTTGGAACAGTTGTTGAAAATAGACATTCGACTTTAAGGGTAAATTATATTACCGGGTTTAAAGAAATATTACACATCTTTAGATAGCAGTATTTAGATTTTGTATATCATTTTATAAATGCGATCCTTTTACAATTTCAAATTCTGTCTAGTTCAACTAGTCAAGACATCTGTAATATTCCCCTAATAATAGTTTCAATTCTTCAGTAAGTTTTGTAAATTTTGTTCAACATTTTATGCCAAATATTTATTCCAAGTTTATATTAAAAATATCTCTTTCCGAGTACAACAAACAGTACGTGCTATTGGTACGAAATATTTCCACACATTTTTATACGTAAGACTTTCAAGTTACGAAAAGACAGGGGAGGAAAACACAGGAGGGTAAAATGTTTCCTGCAAACGCGGTTTTACGGAACCACAAAGATAATTGCGGAACCTTCGGTGTTTCCAGCCTTATCTACCGCGAACTTTGCTAACCATTGTTTATTTGTACGATTCTTTTCTTCGTGGACTCGCGTGGAACACGGCTGTAAAATTTTCCACACCATTTCAGGGACATTCTCGTGTGATGGCCGTTTACGTAATAATATTGCGGAAAGCCGTCTTTGTTACACTCTTAACAGTAGCAATATTACGAAGTGCCGCGAAACTTTCTTCTTTTTGACGTTTCAGCTTCGCGAGTTGTTCCTTTCTACAGAGAGCAAGAAGTTCGTCGGAATTACTCAATTGCCGAAGTTCGCGTCAACCTTAGTTGGCGAAGTTCTGTACGCGTACAGGTGCTAGACTCTTTGTCGGTCTTGCCAATGCGACGATTCAAATTTCCTTCGACGCCGTTACATTCATTCCTGTTAGACCGTTCGTCGAATGGACGAGCGCAGGAAAACGTCGAAACGGAAGTTTCGCGCGGTATTTCCGTCGGGATTCATGCCGATTTAACGCGTTGTTCGCCACGTCACCCGTATATGGGTGACAGTGCTTTTCACTGAACAAGTACAAAATATTAAGTCTGAAAATTAAGCATTAAAGGAAATGAATTTGAATGAAATTCATGGATTTTGGTGAAGTTACAAAAATAAATACCACGATGAACGTTTGATAGTCCGTTCCGATAGTCTAAATAATATTTAATCCTAGCAGCATTCAACGTATTAATGGGTAGTTACGTACGAAGTTGAAGATGAAATACGTGTTTCTTGTCCACTAAAAAGTAGCAAAAGGCGTATATAAAAGTGTTATTCGTGGTATGTTTCAGATGAAACGTTTTCAAATTATCCTATACACGAGACAAGACATGTCCTTGTATTTTGGCTATTTTTTAAATGTATATTAACAAAAAAATTTAACTTCTGTTCTCCAGGACAACTGTTTTGTAAAATTGCGTCTAGCTTTGGATTAAAATATGTATCTAAATAATGAAAAAAAATTCTTGAATTATCCCTATGACGTCTGCACGTATCCTCTGAAAGCGGCATCTTGGAAAGTTTCCTGCCCTTTCCCTCTCCGTTAACAATATTTGTTGTTAAGTCACTTTTATGTGCGCTACTATGCATACTCCACGCGTAAACGAGCAGATCATCGAACCTTTAATTCGACAGGCTCGTTTGCGGTCGCTTGTAAATGACGAATTTCATTTGGACGGGTTCGAAGTCGAAAAATTTTTCCAGTGGTTAAAAAAGAAACGTAAAATTGCATTCCATGGTGCCTGGGCGGGCCGACGTTAACCCCGACGAAACGCGATAACAAAACATCCGGCTCGCACAAAGCAAATTGTGGAACGAGTTTCATTTCCCTTTGCAACAATCAGCCCGACCTGTTTACTGTTCCCGGAGGAAATCGGATTTCCTGATACGAATAGACAGATATAACTGGATAGAGAAACGTTACGCGTTCGTCCGCGTCATCCTCGAAACCCGTTAACGTCCTTTTAAGAGACAAAAAGGTCCGTCTGAACTCGCGTAACGTTGTTAACCCCGCCGGATGGAAATTTGTTGCTCGTCGGTTTACCTGATGCGAAATTGCGCCCCCTCTTACAGCGCACGAGGAATGATCAATCGAGTCGTTCGTTATGAAAGTGGTGCGTGGGTGGCAAGTGTACCGGTATCGTTGATCATTTAAGAGAACCTTGTCACGGGGAATAATTCAGGGAGCGGAGAAAATAATCTGAACGCGAGATACACTTCCTCTTGGTTGTGGGTCACCATCTGTATTATACTAAGGGAACGTTTCTTTACACTTCCTTGTAGACAATACGTTTTTTTCAAACTTCCCTACTTAAATCAATATATTCTCATTGCTTGCAGCAGCTCTATTTAGGTAGAAATGAATTTACAACCATTTTTATGACGAGTGCAACTTATTTCGCGTCGAATTGATCGTTTTTTCTGTTTCGAAGTCAGGGATTTTGATCAAATTGCAGTATGTTATAGACAACCTAAAATTGAGGAGGGTTTAAGTCATCATTTTGTCGAATTCGAGTTTGTTTAAAAAATGCACGACGTTGACGTTTTCAGTTTTTGTTCATTAATGTGAAAACGGTCTACATATTTGAATTTTTCTCTCCAAAACTAGCCATCGTATCAAATTCAGCTTTTCTTTATTTTCACCGAGAAGTATCGATCTTTTGTGCTATGTTTTGGTTCGAAAGATTCAGCGGAGTACTCGTCTCCGAAACCATAATATATACTGGTACCCAGAACCACGTCCTACGTGCTTAGTAAGTCCCTAAATTTCTGCGTCAAACATACGGACTCGCCCGTTTGTTTGTCGTGTAACTGCTTAGTCTCCGTTTTCCACGAGTCGCTGGATTCGTAGTTTGGGTATCTGAGATTGCCTTCTACTTACCTCGCTCCATTTACTGGTCTCCCACATGGGACAGGAGATGGTGTTGCAGCTCTCCTGGTTGCGTGGCTTGTGCGTGCTGCTGCACTTGTGATCTGGAAGCTGTAACGAGAAGTATTTCAAGTTTTTACGCGATTCATTTGCAGTCATTTTTAATTCCTATTTGAATTTCATTTTATTCTTCGAAAAATATATTAATATAACACGGATTATATTTTTCGAAATAGGTAATATTGCATGGACCTTTTAAAAAATTAATTATTGAAAGAATTTTATTTTACATTTCATAAAAAGATGTTGCGCTATCAACTTGATCGCGATGGGAGATTTTGAGCTGAAGCCTAATGTGTATACTGCTATCGGGACGCCGAATAAATTTATTCTTTTCAAAATGGATAAACAAATGATATTTTCGTTCCACTAAATTCGAAGTAAAACAACTACACATGTTGTTCCTTGTGTTAAAATCCTCCCTTACACACGATAAAATTTCAATACCTCCCCCTCTAATCTCTCTAAATTCGACAATCCTCGTTGTACACATTTGAACCTCCACATCGAAAAGCCAACCCCTTTTACGAGCCAGTATTTCGCCGCAGAAGTACCCCATATCGCGCTTTCGTTTCCTAATAATCGTGCGGGCCACAAAACATTATTACACATATTATATCCTCCATTACCGCCTCGAGTGTTATCTAACCGTTTCAAGAGACCCCGCGCACACGTAGACACGGTGGAAGACGCAAATCCTCTTGGCGAACGGTACACGTGTCTAACCATACATATTTCTGACGTATGTGTGTTCCAGGTGCTCGCCGAGTCTCGGATGAGAGGATTTTACGGTGGCTGACAGAGAACCGCGAGCAGCCCTTCCAGTTTAAACGAACCGAACTGGGTTAGGGTTCGTGGGTTTCGCGGGGCTGTCGTAGGCACCGAATGGATGGACGGATGGATGGCTCTGTATCTGTACGACAGTTCCGGAGACACGAGCACGTCGTAAAGCTTCAAAGATGCAAGGAATTATTAACCCATTTATGTGACGAGCAACCGGAGGGGGCGAATTTCTCGAGATTCGCAGCGGCTCGGAAAGTTATCGGAGCGAGCAAACATTTCGTGTTGATAGGATGAATGCGTCTAATTTAAAAAAAATTGACGCAATCGTCGTTTAGTAATTTATTTTAAAAGGATTACGGTAGACTACGTAGTTTAGATTTATTTATACAGGGAGACGTGATGTAAATATAGGGATTGGAGGAGGAATTATTACGTCGATATAATGATTCGAATACTTATACTTGAATATTTGTAATGCTTCTTAAGAATTCAACTTTCATTGAATTGCTTTATGAGTTTATAAGTTAAGGATCTAAACCACCCCTTTCTCGATACAATTCCTTCAAAGCCCCTTCCATTTAATTCTATAAAATTGTCGCTTCGTGTCAATAATGTCGTGACTGTACACTTATTATCGAACTCGAACGAGCACGCGAACATCGAGCCATGAAAGCTTGATACTGGAATAAAAATCTCAGCATATAAAGAGGCACAAGTTTTCGATTACATCGTCGTTATCGTATCCTGTGATCGCAGTCGAGACAGTAATAAATTCTTCGAGACGAATGAATGTTTTAAGTCGACTCGAATCTTCTCTGGACGAAAAATAAAACGCAGGGTAATTTACACGAGCGATCCTTTTCTTTTTCTTCGCTCTACAACGCCACGAGTCGGGAAACACCGCAGTGTGTTTTTCAGGGATAGGAAACGAGGTCGAAATCCGAGAATTTAATATAAAGGGATTCCGCGTATTTAAATTATCTCTGTCCCGCTCCTTATTTACCTTTGTAGTCTCATTGCCATTCTCCTCGGTGCAGAAAATGGCTCTGGTCCTGGACCCACCTCCACAGCTAACGCTGCACATACTCCAGTCGCCGGTTATCCATCTAGAAACATAAAAAGAATCAATTGAAACGCAGCGGGACTAGAGCGTTTTCGTTTCGTGGCAGCCAGCCACGGATGTTACGTAACGTCTAGGGCACGTACATGTTAGTAGAGTCTTTTGGATATTCTATTTCATTTCGTTTTTGTGTGAATTTATGTGGAATTTATACTCTTTTAGGGATTGAAAATGAAGTAGTTGTACGAACGTGCTAATCAGCTCATTTAATACACGAACGGTTACTTATGAATGGAATCATTGTTTCCAGTTGAACTGGAGGCTTTTGGAAATTTTTGATGTATTTTACTTCTATTTTTGTATGAATTTATGTAGAATTCGTATTTTTTTAGGGGTTGAAAATGGAGTAGTTGGAGGAACGTGCTAATCAGTTCGTTTAATACACGAATGGTTACTAATTAATGAAATCAATACCTAAGGTTCTTTTCAAATATTGTATCTTTCATGTTATTTTGAATAGTTTCAAACTATTTTTCGATTTTTGTCTATATATCCTGATTCTATTTCATTAGAATTGTTGTGTCCAAGTGATTAACTATGAACAAGAAGGATCAATTCAAGTCTACTAGTTTCTCATACCTACAGTTGTTTTTAAATATTTCATCTTCCATGTTCTTTTGAATACTTTTTAATGATTTTTCGATTTTTAATTAGATTCCAAGGTCCAATTCCGTTAAAATTGTCGTGTTCAAATCATTATAAACAGAAAGAACTAATGCAATCTTTACGTGGAGGCCCTGAAAGTGCCTAGAAACTACACGAAGATAAAATTGTTATGCTTAGACAGTTAGAAAAATTCACGATAAAATTAAACGTTCGTCGGCGGTTCCAAACTTCCGTACGCGGTTCTTGGGAGTTGCAAAATCGCGCGGTCCGATAAAAAGTTATTAACTTAGCGCCCCCGTGGGAAGGGAACGATCCGAGAGGTCGTTGGGAATGCTTAAAATTCATGTATGCTCTCGGTAATCCTAATATTTGCATGCCTTTTTACGGGAAAACGAATATTTTCATCGAGCGGGGATCAAAGGGCCGGCGAACAGCCCCAACAGACGTAATGGTTTTAATATTTTTGGACCTTTCTCTTTCAAAAATCTGAATTACACGTTTTGAAAATCGTGCCATTCGCGAATTAAAAATGAGCAGGTCCAACAAAAGTCACCTTAACAAAGGGTGGTAAATAATAGAATTATCTTATGAAAAATTCTGTAATTTCTCTAAAAAGAAATTGCATACATTGCCTTCAGTTTGGATCGCCTATCTTTCTTCTAAAAGATATCTAATTCATAAACCTTCAACAAAACCTCTGTGCTGGGTGGTACGTAGACGTACGATACGCGATGGAAACATCAAGGAGGACTTTCAGGCCATTAATCGTCGTGGATTTATTCAATTTCCAGTGCATCGAGTGTCTGTCAGGCGAAAGTGTTCCCCAGTCGCCAGACGAGCCCATCGATCGCGTCACTGTATAGCTTGAAACTTTTGCTCGATGAGCGGCGAACCGCGTTGTTCCCTCTTGTGTAACACGTGTACGGGTGTCTCGATACGTTCGGCCTAGCCGATTATTTACCCCCGATGTCGTCTCGCCGTGAAAGCCTCCGTAATGCCAGGAAAACAGATGCTCAATGAACGCGTCCCATTCGATAAAGTCTCGTTGTTCCCGTTTCGTTCCCTTCCTGCAATTCCCCGACGTTCATTTGTCGCGGCAGATAATTAGGCCGGATGTTCCTCCAAAGTGTAACGCACGTGGAAAGGGAAAACAGCTGAGGAGAATAAAAGAAGTGGAAGTAGCTCAGAATGATATTCTGGGATCGATTGTTTGGAAGGAGGGAGTACTCCGGTACCAGTTAGATGGTAAGATTAATTACCAAATACGTAGAGAAGGTGTTCGGGACTCGGAAGTACACTGAAGGTCCTTTAACACGTTGGCTGCCAAGCTAAAACTCGTAAAAATGTCAATAAAGTTAAAATTTGGTCTAGAAACTATTAAAAATTGGATAGCTTAACATCTGTCATAGTATTTAATTTTTTAACGTCGTCAAATTTACGAATCCTGTCCAGATTTATTTTTATTATTGTCTCATCTTTGAAATTAATTTTATTAGTTCCTTAATGACAAGGCCTATCACCCATTTTTGGGTGACGTGGCGATCAACGTGTTAAAGCGAGGGACGTTACCTTCTGCGTGATTTACCGCGAAATGTTCCTTCAACGCACGTGAGAGGGGAAAACAGATGAGAAGAATAAAAGGAGTGGTAGTAGCCCAGAACGATATTGTTTCGAAGGAGAGAGTACTCCGGTACCAGTTAGATGGTAAGATTAATTACCAAATATGTTGGGAAGGTGTTTAGGACTCGGGAGTACGCTGAAGGCCCTTTAAAGCGGGGAACATTACCTTCTGCGTGATTGGAGCCCGAGATGGATCGTAGGATTAATTGCTAAATCTGTTGGACAGCTGGGAACGTTGTATGCAAGTAATGATAGTGGAAGCACCACTTGGGAGGAAGCCTGGAGTAATTGGAACAGTTTGAAATAATTGTTGGTGAATGGAGAAACTATGAAGAACCTTTCTTGTTTGTTGGATGCTTCTCGTTGTAGAGTTTGCGTAACATGGTCTTCACTTTCACTGGCGTGACAGAATCATCGCGTGTCCATCTTATTGAGCCAAACGTTCTCGTTAGCTCGATACCATCTTGACAGATGTCTCCGGGACCTGTCATTACGATTTACGTCCACTGTTAATTACCGAACTAAGTCTGATTGATGACGACTTTGTGGAACGGTGTCTTCATTTTGAGAAGACGGACAGGACTATCGCGTGTCGTACCTGTATGTCCTTGTACAGGTGTACGAACACCTGGAGTCTAAGTATCAATTACTGACTTAAGAAGACTAATATCGATCCTGTCGTATGTCGCTTTTATTTACACGAGTATACCATGAATTCTATACCTTTTTGATAAATATTTCCGTAACTTTCCATTGCGATCCGTGATTTTTACATCGAATTGCATACCTAACGCATCTCACCTCTCCCATGATCTTAATAGCCTCGCCGGCCTGATACCATCTTGACAGCTGTCTGACACCCCAAATCGAAATTTGCATTCACTATTAATTACAGATCAAGCACGATTGACGTCCTTCGCTTGGAAACGCGACGCCACCAGCAACCCGGACGTGTAATTGTCATCTTTCAGCTTACGGGATTCGATCGGTTCTCTGCCCAGCAAGATTAACCGTCAAATCTGCCGGAAGGAGGATAATAGAATTTAATTGAGGGTGTATCCCTGGCGCGACACGGAATAATGGCCGCTGAAGTATTTAGTGGCTTAATACACAGTCGCGGGTAGGCAGCGATTTAGGAATTCAGGGCCCTCTTGGGGGGTGGCTGAAACGCCGACCACTTGCGTGGCCTGCCTGAACCAAATTAAACTAAATTCTCGACCGTGGCAATTAGCGCCAATTTACCGTTGACGAGGCGCGCTCCACTCGGCTGATTTATTAACGGTCGTGGCCCGTTAACGTTGCAATCACCTTTCTCGCGACGTCTGGATTTTTAAGCGTCGATCGATCCTACGGTCCTTTGCTTTGCAACGCAAATATTCGTAATCAACGACGAACACCAGCTGTTCAATTATTCATATTCCAATTACGACTATTGTGAGGCCGAGTAATCTTATTTCGCGTGGTGTTTTGTCCAGCGTTTTTTTTCCATTCCAGACCTTTTGCGCATTCTGTGTCTGTGTTAATGTTTGAGAAGCGCCCTAAAATGTATCGAAAATGTCGGTAAAGTGACATGCTTGGGCGAGGATAGCCTTGGATCATTTTTTTCCCTACTTATTTTTCTGAATATAAATAGACAATTTGTATCAGGTATCAACGCGTGATAGTGTCCAGTGTTCTCCAAGTGTTCGTGGTTTTATAGAAGGTTTAAGTTGGATAACATAATGGTGATCGATAAGGTAAACGATTTTCGATTTAGTCACGTGTGACCTCGATCGTTGCCTTAACGACGACCCCCCCCCTAAAAAAAAAAAAAAAAAAAAACGACGATGAAGAGCAGGAAATATCTATTTCCTCCTATTCCAATCTCCCTTATCAAAGAAACGAGCAACCCTCGTAGGTCAGTTGCTTGCACATTGTGCCCTAGCCGATTCTATTCTAATTAATTACACAAGCCAGTATTTGTGTTTCAAAGGTTTCGTAAAGCACCTTCGCAAGATCCGGGGGGCCGAAGGAGGAAAATGTGGGCGCGAATCAGTCGCGTGATTCGCCTCTTGCAGAAAGTTAAATGAGAGTTCGAGTAACCTGAGCTACTCGAGATTCCGGCTTGCGCTGCATTAACCTAGGAGTTTCTGGGTACGTGCGTCATCGAAGTGCCGAAGTTTTCACGTCTTGGGTGTATAGAATAACGCTAAAGAGCTGGCCTAAGGCGATGGGGATGTCTTTGTTTGCTGTAACCATTCCCCTTAAGACAGGATGGTGGTTTTGAATGAAAGGTACAGATTAAAGCCTTGAAATTTAAAAAGGAAGATGATTTGGAAAGGAAGGGAAGATTTAAGATAGTTCTAGCATCTTGAAGAGGACGTTGTGTACCTTGGTAAATAGTATTTTAAAAGGGAACGTTTCTGATGAGGTAATGGTTTAAGAATATGGTAAAAATATTAAGGCGAAATGGAATACATTTGAAGTAAAGGATTTACCAAAGGGACTTTAATTGTCTTTAAAAAAATCAGATGTATTTCATACCATTTGTGTTTCATTGAAAAACAAATAATTAAGCTTCTTATGGAATACCTTTTGGTAATGAAGATGGAACACGTGAAATAATTGATTGACTACTGTTTTCTGATTCTTTATATATGCTACTAGTACTTTCTTTTCGGAGTAGTGCCAAAAATGGCCACTCTCGGACAACGTGCTCCTGCTCCAAAGAAACGGTGGGTTGCTTGGTGACGTAGCCGCATACGTCAGCACCGTAGAAGCAGAATTTATTTTCCACTTCTCTTAGGATTCCTCAACGCTCTGAAAAGCACGAATGCGAACTGGTAATGGAAATTTCTACCTCGTAGAATGGGAATGTTTGCTTCTCGTTTGCTTCGCTATGTTTCAGTCTGGGATTTTAAATTTCTGGGAACGGGGAGATCGTATCGATCGTTGCTTATAGCTTTCCGGTATACATACGTGAAATTATAGTCAATGTTAAATCTGCACTCTCGGACGACGAAATTGTTATATTCCTGGAGTGGAAGAAAGCCAAAATTTTTTAAATTAATCCTTCGCATGGTAATGATTTGTTATTGATTTTATTACTCGAAACTATCTAGATACGAATGGCTAAAATAATCACCGATGCTACATTCTTTTATTATGAACTGCTGTTCAAAAATCCCCATCGACTCTTGATTTTCATTCTGAGAGCTCTCAGACCGGCCCCATCGCTGTTTCCAGGATTATACGTCCTGGAAAGGTGGATGAATAAGTCTTCCCGTAACTTTATTCGCGCGGACGTCGATAAATCGCGAGAATCACCCGATCCAAGAGACACTTAAGAAACAAATAAACCCCTGGGAATAAACGTCGCGTCGAGGCGGATCGACGAAGGTTTCGCGGACATCGAACCATAATTTCGATTACAAAGGAACAGGTCCTATATACACACGCCTCTGTACGTTTCAACGACGTGCTGCGTTTTCACCGCGGCTGTATATCCAGTAAGAATGGTTCGCGGCGAAGTTTTTGTTCGAAGTTCGTCGCCGGCGTAGTGTCCGCTCGTCTGGCGAGCGATTCTCATCGGGAGCGAGCTTTAAAGCGGCCGCTTTTTATCCCTCTGCCTTCCCTTTATATGGACAAAGAAAGGGCCGTATCGTCCCGAGAACTAAGATTGTTTCTTCGAAAAAATATCCTCGGGACGTTCCCCCTACCTTCTCGTTATACCGTCCCGATCGTTACGCTTTATCGAGAACGGTTTACCCGGACGTTGGCGTTATAAATCCAGAAAGCGCAGCTTTTTGCCTCGGTGTCGTAGAACCGAAACTACTTGGCTGTTGTCGTGGAAGCATTCGCGATTTGAGAGTTTCAAACATCAGGAGGATCTTGGGACAATCCCTTGAAAATGGGGAAATTAAGTTGGATTCCATAAGAGACTTGACGAAATGTGCAAGAGGACTTTCTTTATTAGAAGCTTCGTAAAGGAAGTAAAGGAAGCTTCGTAAAGGAAGTAAAGGAAGCTTCGTAAAGGAAGGAATGGTATTCTACTTTGGCAGTGTGAATCTAAATGACACTAAATTAAAATAATGATTTATTAAATAACATTTCTGTATTAAAGTAGCACATTTTTAGACAAAATATTATTCATATCGTAAATAATAAAAAATATTTTCCT